GTAAGTGAACTTTTCGCGTTTAATTTTCATGCACTCCAACTGCTCGCGACTCAACGTAACAATGATACAGAAGTAGCCAATTAGTTCGCAAAACAGGTGTGCGCAACATGTCAGTTGACAGGAAACGCCAGAGGATCAGTGCTACCCCTCAAATCAGGAAAACTCCGACATTGTGGACACTTTGAAACCTACAATGTCAAATTTAAGCAAAACAGGGAAAAGTTAGGAGAGAATAAACGCATGAAAAAAAAGGTGATCCAGGGCACTAATCTGGCCTAAGATCGCAAGGTCAGAAGTTCGAAACTGTGCGGAATGGTGTTTTTTTTATTATTACTTTCAAACAGTTAAGAAAAAAAGGCCACACGAGCTAAGAGACAGAAGTTGAGAGCTGATAGGCAGTCAGGTGGTGTTCTACAATGCTAAGAAAGCACAACAAAAACACCTGCTTAGAGATAGCGCAGCAGCCAAGCATGGAATGACATAATTCAGTCCGAATGCAGATGCTGGACCATTCCTAATCATATATTTATTTATAACATATGACAAGAGAATTGTTTAACTGAAAAAGAGGAGCTCTGAAGCGCGGACCTCACTGCGACCACCAGTCAGTAATACACTACCTCACCAGAGCAGGATTAGACACCCTGGTGCAGTACTTGGCCACTACCTCCCATGACTACAGCAATTAACTCTTGGCCCTCAGTCTCCAGCGGCTGCGAAGCAACTGTATAAGGTGGGGGTCAGACCTGCGGCACAGCGGAGGGTGCTAAGAATATTTGGATCCGGACAGGCCGTCATTGGAATCTGAACTTGGCTACCTTCAACGCTAGAACGCTATCTAGTGAGGCTAGTCTAGCTGTCCTATTCGAGGAATTAGAGGGTGTTCATGGGATATAATAGGGCTCAGCGAAGTTAAGAGGACACGTCAGGCTTATAAACTGCTGAAGAAGGGACATGTCCTATGCTACCGGGGATTAATTGGCAGAAAACAACTAGGCGTGGGATTTCTTATACACAAGATTATTGCTGGCAACATAGAGGAATATTATAGCATTAGTGAGAGGGTGGAAAGTATCATAATTGAGTTTAATAAAAGGTACAAGATGAAGGTGGTATAGGCCTACGGGCCTACATAAAGCCCATGATGATCATTTGGTTGAATGCTTCTATGAAGGTGTAAAGTCGGCCATTAATAAAGTAAAGCCACAGTATACTATTCTGATGGCGACTTTAATGCCAAAGTTGGCAAGAAACAGGCCGGAGACCATGCAGTGGGGGGAATATGGGATCGGCTGTAGAAATGCCTTGGGTTGTTATTAGTAGAGTTCGCAGAATGTAATAACTTGCGGATCTTGAACACCTTCTTCAGAAAACGAGCGAAGCGTAAGAGGACGTAGAGAAGTCCTAATAGCGAAACTAAAAATGAAATAGACTTCCTTCCGTGTGCACACCCAGGCATTGTACAGGATGTAGAAGTAGTTGGCAAGATCCTATGCACTGCTCATAGAATGGTAAGAGCTCGTATTCACCTAGATTTTAAAAAAAAGCAGACAAAAACTGATACGCAAGAAACCAATTAATTAACTAGCAGTGAGAGAGAAAGTACACGAATTCAGAGTTTCGCTTTAGAATAGATTCGAGGCACTAAACGACGTAACTCACGTTATTGTTGACACAATGAATGATAATCGTACTAGTACCATCAAAGAGTGTGCAATGGAAGTCGGAGGTACAGCCACTAGACAACACATTGGCAAACTATCTCGGGAGACGAAAGATCTTAAGAGACGACAAACTATGAAAGCTTCAAATGCAACCGACAAAATAGAGCTAGTGGAGCTTTCGAAGTTAATAGGCGTAAGGTAGCCGACGTCAGAAGGTATAACATGGAGAAAATTGAGCAGGCTGTAAAAAGCGGCAGAAGCCTAACAGCTGCGAAGGCAAACTTGTGCATAGGCAAAAATCGGATTTATGCATTAAGGACTAAGAAAGGTAGTGTCTTAATTAATATGGATAGAATAGTCGAGGGGGCGGAGGAGTTCTACAGAAAGCTATACAGAAGCCAAAACAGCCAGGATAATATCGCGAGAAACAATAATAGTCCAGAGGAATTCAACATCCTACCAGTAATGGCAGGGGAAGTAAGGAGAGCCCTAGAAGGAATGCAAAGAGATAGAGCCGCTGGTGAGGAGAACAACAGACCTCCTAAATGATAGTGGAGAAATTGTGTTAGAAAAACCGGCCACCTTATTCATAATGAAATAATTGGAAGCGCAAACCAACGGGACACAAGAGAAGAGAAAAACAAGCACAGTCTTCTCTTGTGTCCCGTTGGTTTGCGCTTCCAATTATTTCATTATGAATTCGTACCAACTAGCTCACCTGTTAACCCTTCTGGCCACCTTATATATGAAATGTCTCTTGATGGGAAGGGCACCAGAATCTTGAAACAATGCCAATGTCATCTTAATCCATAAGAAAGGAGACATCAAGGACTTGAAAAATTACAGGCCAATCAGCTTGCTGTCCGTTCTCTATAAACTATTTACAAAAAAAAAAGCCAATAGAATTAAGGCGACATTAGAGTTAAATCAACCAATGGACCAAGCAGGATTTATTACAGGCTTTATTACTCCACAATAGACCATATTCATACTATCAATCAGGTAATAGAGAAATGCACGGAATACAACCAACCCCTATACGACATAGCCTTTATAAGTTACGAGAACACTTTGAACTCAATCAAGACATCAGGAGTAATGCAAGCACTAAGGAATCAGGGCATCGAAGAACCCTACATTACATACTGGAAGAAATCTACAGTGTATCCACAGCCACCATAGTTCTCCATAAAAGAAGTGACGGAATCCCAATAAAGAAGGGTCTAAGGCAGAGAGACGCGATCTCCCCAATGCTATTCACCACGTGTTACAGGTTTTCAGGACCCTAGATTGGGAAGAGTTAGGGATACGAGTTAATAGCGAGTATTTTAGTAACCTACGATTCGCTGATGACATTGCCTTGATGAGCAACTCAGAAGACGAATTACAGCTCACGGTTACCGAACTGGACACGGAAAACAGAAAATTAGGTCTGAAAATTATTATGCACAAAACTAAAGTAATTACTAATGAGCAACAGCCTCGGCAGAAAGCTGTTTGCAATAGGAGGAGAGACGCTAGAAGTTGTAAAGGAATATGTCTACTTAAAACAGGTAGTAACCGCAGAGCCGAACCATGAGAGTGAAATAACTAGAAGAATAAGGATGGGGTGGATCACGTTCAGCAAGCATTCTGAAATCATGAATGATAATCTGCCCTCAAGAGGAAAGTATATAACAGCTGCATCTTGGCAATACTTACCCTACGGAGCAGAAACCTGGAGACCTACAAAGGTTCAGCTTAAATTGAGGAAGACGCACTGAGTGATGGAAAGGAAAATGATAGGTGTAACCTAACAAGAAAAGGGCAGAGTGGGTCAGGAAACAAACCGGGGTTAAGGATATTACAGTTGAAATAGACATGGGCCAGGCACGTAGTGCATAGGCAGGATGACTGCTGGTCCTTACGGGTAACTGACTGGATTTCTAGAGAAGGCAAACAAACGCACGAAGGGGAGACAGAAGTTAGGTGGGTCGATGAGATTAAGAAGTTCGCAGGATCTCCGGCAGCTTTACGATTTAGTTTCTCTACTTTCATTAAAAGGAAAAACTAAAGATCGTAACTAAACTCAAAGTAGGCTAAAGTCGCTCTTACGAGCACAAGGTGGCTATTAACTATGAAGAGCTCACAGTCTAGAGCCCTCTGAAAATTGTCACCAAAACGCCAATGGCATTTCGCATGAGGGGTTCACTAGAGCCACATGCTCAAAATAACGATGACTGCCAAGCTCTCGAATCATCTTAAAAAACTTGTCTTTTCTGCCTAGATGAGCTTTCACTTATACCTTTAAAATGTTTTTTTTTTTTCAAGATCCACTCTTGGGCAACTTCTTTAGTTTGAACATCATATTTTTAATACTTCTGATAACCCGATTAAGATGAAATTTCACCCACATATTCCTTAACATGTAAAGTGTGCAAGTATTGTGTTTAAAACTTGATATTGCCAGTGTAACTATTACAAACTTAAAAGCCATTAGTATAGTCCGAGGATTGAAAGAAAAAGTCATGCATTTTCTTTATGCGAATTTGCACTTTTCAGTTACTGTGGAGCAATATGAGCCATTAATGGCTCAAAACCATAAAAACCAAAACCATAAAAAGTTTGTCAAAAACAAATTGTACTTTACACATTGTCATGACAAAAAATGAAAACTGTTAATCTTACTATGAAACTAATTGCATATTTGAAATCAGCACAAGAGCCGATATATGTAGCAAAAATTTCATTGCCCAAGGCTACCGAATACCGAAACTTACTTTTTCAAATCGCATCTCAGACACTTAAAAACTGGAGATGTGGGTGGCAGCACTCATCACATACTGTGGCGACTACTTCTAGGTGGTGTTAACCACGAGTTTTTTTGTTCAGTGCCTTCAAAATTGCACAAGACTATTATTGCTGTTCCACACATATTTGAAGGAGTGTTAGAGCAGTAGCAGAGATTTAGTAGTGCTGAATGTAGTGCTAAATAGAGCAATTGCAGCAGAGTTTTCACCACTGCTCATGTAGGTGCAGGTCTGGCACGAGAGCATAAAAATCAGTAGTTTAGAGCATTATTTGTCAGTATTCATTTTTGAGCTCAATTTGATGCTGTTGCCACAGTACTTACATTATTGCAGCTGAGCTACAAGCTTGTTATACCGCAATTGTGTTGGAAGTACTGGAATAAATCTCCACACCGCCTTTAACTGTAAAATGTTTATTATGAAACAAATATACAAGGCCATGATACATTTGAAAGAGGTATATAGTAGTTAAATAATTGAAAGTACTGACCTCTCTCAGTACAGTTTGAAACAATGGTAAATAGGGAAGCACACAAGGATAACTGTCTTTCATCTAAATGGTCTCCGGTTAGCAAAGTTTAATAGATGTCTTCCCAACAACAACAAGGAAACCATCATCCTGCAAGTCTTTCAAGGTGTCTTCAAACATCTCTCGTGTGATCATCTGCAAACAAAATTGCCATATTACATGAGTAAAAGACCATGGACGAGCACCACAATGTATCCTAGCATGATAAAGCTAGCCTTCTACACATCGTTAAGCCCAAGTGTACCAACATTGACCCTTTGTTTCCTACAGCCAGTCCAGCTGTATGTACCGCTGTTTGTTCAAAGTAGTGGACACATAAATATGTTTTTATTATGAAATGCTGATGAAATAATAAACATTTGAAATCAATCTTTAAGGCAATGCATTGGCTAGTCTGATACCATCACATTGATATGTTTCGTCCACTTATGTGGATAGTGGTATATAAAAGGTTAATTGATTTTGAACAACGTCAATGTGCGTGAACAGCCTGAAAATGGAAGACGCGAAAGTTTTATTACTGTATATCGCAAGTGTCTAACTAAACCCCAAGTGTCTTATTATTTATTCTTTCTATAAAGTTGACCACATCATTTATGACTAAAAAGCAATTGCACAAGATGCCTACAATACAGAAAAGTGGCCTTCAGGTACCGTTTTGCAGTGTTTCTGGGTACATATATACATGTACCGTTTTTCAGGGTTTCTGAGGGAAAAAAAAAGAAAAGAAAAATTCAAATAATCTGGTAGATCCTTTGAAAATGCTGGCATCACTTTTCAGTGTAACCAAAAATTAAATCAAGCCAAATACCAATTATTGAAGTTCCACTGCAGTTTGATTTTAACTTGGAGCATGCATGCTGTGTATACGTTTCCAACATGGACACTATTTACGATATCATCACTACTAACCACGGTTTCAGCTGCAGTAGATGTGGCGATCAGTAGTTTTAGATTCACTCTGTGCAATGCGCATGCAATGTCACAGACATGGCAGAAGCTGTCGAGGATGACGAGCAAGCCTACAGCAGACTGCATGCAGGCACCCATCTCTTGGGCTACATCATGATACAAGGATGATCTGTAGGTGAGTAGATCATTGGCCAGACAAATGATCATGTGCGTACAAAGGGTGGTGATATCGGCGGCGAAGACATACCGCGGCACCATGTGCCGGAATATTTTTGTGATGTATAAAACGACATCACGTGGTACCGACTGCACAAAGTGTTTGAGGACTCCAATGATTCAGACTGTTCAGCCGCGACTTTTCTAGCTTTGCAAGCGTTGAATTTGTTTGTATCACATGCAAAATAACGTAGAGTGTCTGCCAATAAAGGTTTTAAATAAGCCAAAGTGTGGTCATCGGCGCGTCGTGCACTTTTGATGGAGCGCATGTGGCAAAAGGCGAGTTGTTAGGAAATTCATCTCATCAGTTGTTAGGAAATTCAGCTGTCGAGGATGACGAGCAAGCCTACAGCAGACTGCATGCAGGCACCCATCTCTTGGGCTACATCATGATACAAGGATGATCTGTAGGTGAGTAGATCATTGGCCAGACAAATGATCATGTGCGTACAAAGGGTGGTGATATCGGCGGCGAAGACATACCGCGGCACCATGTGCCGGAATATTTTTGTGATGTATAAAACGACATCACGTGGTACCGACTGCACAAAGTGTTTGAGGACTCCAATGATTCAGACTGTTCAGCCGCGACTTTTCTAGCTTTGCAAGCGTTGAATTTGTTTGTATCACATGCAAAATAACGTAGAGTGTCTGCCAATAAAGGTTTTAAATAAGCCAAAGTGTGGTCATCGGCGCGTCGTGCACTTTTGATGGAGCGCATGTGGCAAAAGGCGAGTTGTTAGGAAATTCATCGAGGAATTCGAAGCATTCTCACATATCGCATGCATTTATGCTTACTGAGGCAAGCATGACGGCATGCACATTTCTCTTGCTTGCGCGGCCGAGAGGTAACATTTCTATTTGTGTGGACTGCTGCACAAGATTGACAGCAACACCTCACTGAGTTTTATGAGTGGTATCAAGTGGCTGAGGGTGATTGATGCTTGGACATTGGTTATTTTAAGTTCGCGTGACCTTTCATACAAGAGATCCTTTTGTGCAGTAACTTTACTGTTAGCAACCGCAGCTTGTGTGGCCAGCAACGTTCACCATAATTATTTAAACCTATAAAAATATATTTCAATAAGTAGGACTTGAGGTGCATATATTTTGTCTCCTTAATCCTCGCTTTCACTATATATGCTTCTCTGTGCAGGACTTTTTGACAGATGAGATTACACGATGCAATATTAATTACTGTATCTCATTTTAATTTACTCTTCCAGTCTTTGAAATCAACCAATTCACAACCAGCAGCTCAGCACATTACGGCTGATAACAGAAGGAGAGACAGCAGAATATGCACCGCAATTGAAAGAACAGCATCAGCACAAAAACATTCTCGCTGCCCTTGTGCTGCATATAACTAGAAAAAGTTAACCCGCCTGGTGTGAATAAATGATGCAAATTCTTACGTGTACTTTCCCAGAAAGTCCCTTGTCATAGTCACTGAACATTTTAGCCAAAACGTAGAATACAAAATCTGTTTCCTGAAAGTGTTTGTTGCACATGCGATAATGAACGCTGGGAATCACTTCCCAATTCTCGGTTTATTGAATATCTATCCCGCTGCTTCTTGGTTTTGGGGTATGCATGCAAAATCACACCAGGGCGAATACAGATAGCATGATGCGAATCACCACTGATTCTTTAACTATCCAAGGGCCGAACAAAATGGCTGCTGCAATCTCATTGCTTTGGGAACAATACATCCTTCTTTCCAACATGGTGCAAATAAAGACAATAAATACTATATAGATAAGTACAGATCTGCAACGCACAATGTCGTACTTGCTGAACATTTCAACTCCAATTCCAGATGCAAAATCTTTGTGAATGCAAAGAAGGGAGGAAGGAGGGTGAATTAATAAGTAGCACACTCGTGTATGAACGAATGTTCATACACGAGTGTGCTACTTATCTGTGGTATCGCTACCACAGATTCATTCACATTTGAGGCTCGCTAGAATGCATCCGGCACTGTGGTACCAGGCGGTAAACAAACCGGTAAACTAGAAAACTAATCGCTTCGCGGATGAAACAGAGAGCAGTGCTCTGATGACGGCATAGGCAAATCACGATGTAGTTCACTATGTTACAGCGACAGCCCCTCCAGTGCTTGCCCTCAAGGAAAATCCTGTCAAATGAAGACCTGGGCCTTGCTATACAGCTGCACTGTGAGTATGCCAGATGATGAGAACTTCAGCTGTTGTACCAAAGCAGAGCCACAACTGGCTTAAAGAGACCGACAACCCACCAGAATGTGTAATTACTCTAGATCCTAGTAAAATGAAGATACCTTGAAATACAGTGATATATTCCAGCATTCTTTTCCTGTTGTGACTAGGATTTATATTTTTAAATCATGCTTAAAAGTAACAAAAACCACTATGTTGCACAGCCTAGCCGATGAGCCTTGAAGTTGGATCATGGAATATGGAGTCAACACTTTGCTGCATATAGTGATGCAGTCTGATGCTGTCATCAACGTTACTGGATGGAGCCAGTTGGAAAACTGCACGGGCAAAGTGGAGGCGTTGCGATTTAGTTTTGCGACCTGGTCACGTGAAGTGTTTCTCACGTCGTTTGCTCGCGGTCTGTTCTACGCACCACCTCCAGAAGACAGTGCTGCCTACTTGGAGCGCTTCACATCTCAAGGAATCTGGTTAGCGGATGCATACTGAGAGCTTCCCTGCTGCAAATGCTGCAGAGATGAAGGTGGACACAGCTTGGAGCTTGGCATGAAGTCTGAATGGTTCTTTTTGCCATGTGCTAATGGTTCTGACTACAATCAGCAGGTGTTTCGGTGTGATAAGTTTTTGCTTGCCCAAAGAATTGATGGCTCCCATTGTAGGTACTGAAATTTACTAGTAAACAATTCGAATGCTTGCATCTGCTGTAAAAACACGTTTTTTTATATAAACATGCTGATATTTGGAAGCAACGGAAAGCGCATGTTGTAGCATCTGAGCTGCGGCACATTAGCTGTTCAGTTTGTCAGAAGGAATAAGGTGGTCATGTGTATTTTACGAGCGCACTTACTATTTTCATGTTCCCAACGCACAGCAATGTGTGGCAGAAAAAAAAGGGGGTACAAACTAATTATAAGGCGATTTTTTCGTGACAGTTGGTAGATTTTACTGCTCATTGCACGACTACATAAAAAGTTTACAGCAGGTGTGCAGTTTCTAAATAGTGTAAATTAATTATTTCTAATTTAGCAAGTGCAAAGCTTAGCTAACAAGCATAAAGAATGCGGCTGGAAACGCAGAATAACAATAGATCAAGAGGCTCGGAGCAAATAATGAACTTATAGTAGTCACATTCGAATACCTAAATTTACAAAGAAAACACGTGGCTGCTTTATACTGGAAACTCCTGCTAGGGTATCAATACTGTGCAAATGTTCATATGCGTCCAGATTACAGCACCTAATTTGCCGAGATCTGTACATGTTGCTGTGCAGTAGCATCTAAAAAGAAATGTTTTCTCAAGATCCCGAGTCTTTCCTTCTTCTTTTTTTTTTTCAGTTGATAACATTTGTTATATTACTGCATAAATCCTTGGCGTAGTTCAGTGAAGTTTGGATTTCTCCCAGACCACTGCACAATGCTTGCTTCTCCACATCCTCCTAGACTTGACAACTGTCTTTGAAGTAGGAATTGGTGGACAGACACAATCTTCAAAATCAGTACGGATTCTTCAAGCCTCAGTGTGGTGAAAAAAGGGTGCTGCGTCGTTAAAGATTGTAAAGCTGAGCTGCAGGTTATTGTCACTTCCATGAATGCTGTAATAGCATTACGGCACATTTTCTTTGAGCGCTGGCAACCACATTTGAGTTTTTGTTTATTGTGAAAGCTCTTTCGGTGGAGACTACACCACCGATTCCTTCAAGCTTGACAAAAAAAAAAAAAAAAGAATAAATAAAAAACATGTTCCTCTGCGTTTCACACACCATTTGGCATACACCGGTTAAAGTCTTTGATACCATCAAACTTGTGTTCCCCTGTGGAGCTTTCAGTGAGCGCGACTTCCATGCTTTCAATTTCAACATTTCAGGTCTGTCTTCGCATTCGAACTTTTCCATGCACGTCTTTCATCTCTCTGAAAAATTTAGCTAATGGCATCTCTCATTACAACTAAGCTACAAATGTCAACGTTTCCTACACCAAGTGTCAAGTCGTGTTCTGCGATATTCGGAAAGTGCCGTCCCCTTCTTTTTCAGGCCCTACTACGCTTGCACAATTGAGACTGTTTAGCCATTTGCAACGTGCTGAAAGAAGATGCAGATGTTTGCTGCATCAAAGTCAGGATTACAGACGTATGCTCTTTGCATAGCTGTGAACTTTGCGCGTCCTCTTGCATTGTTCTACTCAATTGGCACATTTCGGTGGCTTGAAAAAGTGTCACTGCATGAAGGGCATTTCATTTAATGCTGCCGATATGTACGACTTCGTTAGTCTAGCACACGTCCACGTACCGGTCGTCCCCCAAAGGAAAAAAAAAAAAAAATCTCACGCGCACATTTGTTTGTTCAGAGTCGCGATCTGCTTTCTCTCTGGAAAGCAGAACCACGTAAATACTGTTGTCTCCTTTGGCACAGTTGAAGTTTAATGCATAAGGTCTGTTATGATAAGAGCCACGCCTTTTCAAATATCTGAACTAATTAACGATGAGCATTCATTTATATTAGCCATAGAAAAAAATACATCGCTTGCAAGTACACGCCGTGATAGCCACGTCGCTGCTTCGTCTGTTGCGTGCATAGCCGGCTGTACGGCGGAGGTCACCTGATATAGCAAAGTGACGCCAGCAACACCTAGAATGAACGACGATTTGGGCCACCTCCTTGCGAGATTTTTGCAACTGCCCCCATCCAGTAACGCTGGCTGTGATATGTGCCACTTCTCAAAGTTAGATTATGTTATTATCTAGCCCCGCTCAATTATGTGCTGCTTAGAACATAAATTGCACGACGAGAAGCGGCGCTGCTATCGCAGCCACCAGTGGACCAAGCCATGCTGCGGTGCATGCACATGGAGTGGACACAGGCGCAGTGAATCAGTGCGTTTGAACACGACCGGCGCTCGCTGTTTGGAGCGTGTGATTATACGACTTCATATTTGCTGCAGATTGAGAAAAAAAAAAATCTGATTGCACATGTTTCACGGCGTTCCCACTTTACCAATCCGTGATTAGACTCACTGACCGGTAAGCTTTCCGTTGTGCCAAAAAAATAGGCACCATAAAAATTGGTTGTTTTGTTCAACTACAATACACTTGTCTATTTCTATGATCAACAATTACAGCGGAAACAAAAATACAAATCTCTAGTGCCTGCCGGCTTCTTTGGCTCCACCAGACCGCAAAAATGACGTCTTGGCGCACACTTGGCGCAAGTTAGAGATCTTCGTCAAAACGTAGCAAGTTTCACTTTTTGGTACAGTTATCAGATCACTGAGCTAGCACACTGCTTTTATGTAAAATGAGAATATGATCTTTGGATTAATTCAGTAAATAAATGTGTGTTGATGTAGTAGACATTCGTTGATTCTTTCCTTCATACCTTCATAGTTCAACATTGAATTTATCTAGCATCATTCCATTCTCATGAACTGAATGAATGCGAATTCACATTTTTTTCAAAGTATTGCTCACAATGGTACGTAGAACATGGTAAACATTTTTGGGCCGGAAGACTTTCACTAGCCCTTTCGCAGCCTGCTCTAGCAGTTACACAGTGCTGTGAGGTGTCGAACCCAGTGTGGCATTTTCCTCATGCTGTGGCTTAGCAAAGCACATTAGCTTGAGCTCCTTAAAAGTGAAAATGAAGATTCTCAACACAACTTACCACATCTGATTGGCTCTTAAAATCAGCAAAGACCTTGTTGTATGGAAGGCTCTGAGCCTTGGTTCTTGTCTCGAGCATTTTGCGCAATGCAGATGTCATCTGTGCACGTCTCTGACGAGATGAAGCACTCATTCCAGTGGTAAGAATAGAGATATCAATCTTTCCAGAGGCAGGATCAGTGGCTGATTGCTTGAGAGCTTCTCGGTGTAGCCTGTCCGTCAAAAGAAGGACGAGCATTAAAGCACCATAAAATGCTCAATACATGAAGAAAATGAACATATTTATGATATTTTTAATTATTTCATTAAGGTCCGAGAACACTGGTTCTCAAAAGGGGGTCTGCAAAACGTATTCTTGGAAAAAAAACAAAACAAAGCAAGAACGTTTTTCTTTCTTTTTTTTTTTTTTTTTCAAACCACTAATCCCGTAGCACTGGCCCCTTCAGGTTTTTGGTATGCTTCATGCATAACCCCTTTGCAATGTGGCGGAGCTGACATGTTTCCGCTTTTCCACAAAATGGCTGTTAAGCTTGTGTTGCACATTTCTACAACATATGCATACGAGCATGCTTTCTCCAGGCTAGCATACCTGAGGAGCTAGCACAGCTAGAATCAGGAGGTTGAGTATGACTGCAGACAGCATAACTTAACGACAAGTTGTTGAAATCGAATAGGCACTGGAAATTAGTTGAACATTTTTTCCCAGGTAGCAATCAAAGGCACCTTTTCATGCAGCAAGCCGTGTCAATTTAGACTCCCCCACATCCTCACTTAGGGGCGTCCCTCATCACTTCCATCAGTCGAAAAAAAAAAAGTCCCCAAACCATCCATGGCAGAAAACATTGTCCTAGACATATAAAGCTTATAAAATAAAAGCTTATAAAAAATAGCAGCAAGACCTGCATGCTATCCTTCATCAGCAAAAGGCCAGTAAACAGGCTCAGACTTTTTCTTTACACCTCCTAAAGAATCTCACCACACCGTACATTAGACCACGGCAATCATAGTTTCTGATTATTACAACGCTGCACACTACACAGATTCTATATTTCGAAAACTATTCCTATGCCTGACCAATCCAATCCCCCCCCCCCCCCCCCCCCGTATGCGGAGTGACGCAAATTAGTACATGGGCAACTTGACATACCACTGAGATCAATGATTGGCCCTTTGCCCTATGAAATGGCGCCTTGGCCCTGTGGTAATGCAGTTTTGACCACGCAGCCCGCATTTTCCTGTGCTGCCTCCCATTGTTTTGTAGAGCCCAAGACTACGGAAAGGAGCGGTATTGCTAGAACGAAAAAGCCTCCGCGATAAAAAGGTGCCCCGCTACCTTAGCACTAGGGGAAGGGTACTCCTCCCACCGCACTGCTATGATACGTGTTCATGTGGGGGAAGCCCTGCTCGGTCATTGGCTCCGCTCTGATGACGTTGACATCGTCACATTGCTAAAGCAGACGGAGTCACGACGACGGGCTACACCCTATGACGGAGAAGAGTGGTGCGGTTGCATGAAAATTTGAAACCAGCTAAAATAGATGTAGTAACCCCCACAACTTCCCTATCACCCTATCATAACACGAATTCGCAAAATTCCTGCGGCAGTGTCTTTACATAGCAAAATGCGCATATTTATTCGGATTACAATTCTTGAACTTCATTGTTTACTGACATGTTAAGAAGGGGAAGTGGTTTTCTGATAAAAAAAGTTAATTATTCAAACTAGGACGATAGAAACACTACTAACTATATATTTTCACGTTCTGATATCAAATAATTAACCCTGTTTTTATGTATACTGTGCCATTAGTTTAAAACCTAATTATTAATGAAAATGTAATTTTGTATAATTTATTATGATACTGGATTGTAGATTTTGGTGTATTAAAGGTTAAAAAGAGCAAAAAGAGTAGTTTTATGGTACTAGCTTTCTTAACCCCTTAACTGCTTTAGACGAGTAGAACTCGTCCTAGTGGAATAGGTAACTTTTTGGCCGGAAATTTTCGGGGAAAAAAAAAAAAAAGAACAGCTAAGAGGTTAAACAGAAGTTACAAAACTTCAGAGCCCTCACTTGAATGACTAAAAAAATGTACTTTTTTATTTCACCCTTTCTAAACACTGGCTTCAGAAAATAACGGCTGCCACCCTTTTGTGCTCCATAGACTGCAGCCTTTTAGCACAACAACATTGAACAATACTGAGTGCTCCAAGGCTGAGAAAAGCTTGACAATAAATTATAAGGTTACGAAAAAAAGAGAGAAAAAAACTGTCTATTACTGATGTGATGTAGAAGGCTTTCATAGCAAAAAAAATAATCTAGGATGCATGAAAGTGGGTGAGGTCATGCATCAATAATGGCCAAATCAAGAGAGAGTGAGAAAATTGATTTAATTTTTTTCTTAATTTCTGGTCTCAAAAACACGTTCCCTTTTTAAATGACGTGCTCTTATAGACTGGGCCTCATCATGAGCATCTGTACAGGATGTTACAGAGCGAACAGAGATGAATGTGAAAACATTGCAACATTCTGATTCCATGAGATCCACTTCTTAATGAAGCAGAGTGGAACGGGGTGCCTAAATGAGACAGAAAGTTAAAGAAGCACACATATACAGAGCTGTCTCGTGATAATAAACTCCGTAGTTAGTCAGCGCTGTGTGTGATGCGCTTCTTTAAGCCTTCTGTCCAGTGTAGCCACGTTTTTCAAGGTTCGATATGTACCAATTGGCCCACCAACAAGTGTTGCAGCTGAATCCTCAACGAACATAGACGCCTCATGAAAAATGAAGCTCCTTGTAAAAGATGCCATGCCTGTTCGGAAGGCGCAGCACTGTCACAGAGAAAGCTAGAAGAGTGGCCTTTCAGAGCCCTTTCTAAACACTCATTGGTTAACTGCTGCAAGCACACTTGCTGGGTACCCACTACGACATTCGCTATGCTATCCGTAATTCTTCTGAGCAGCGTGATATCCGCTAAACACTTGCAAGGAATTTTGTGCTAATTGTTCATGCAGTGGCTGACGACGATGAGGAATTGTGCTTGAAGTGGGTATGCACCACAGTTAACAGCTGCACAAAAACAAACTTTTGTAAAGGCTTGGCGCATTGGATGACCCACTCGTTACGCTATTTGCAATGTGCGACAACTCCTTGTTCTTTTGCTGTTTTAAAACGCCTTATAAGTCGTATTAACGCGATTCCTTTCCCGACAAGTCCCAAGCACGGGCGTGGCTTAGTGGTAGAATACTGGGTTGGCACGCAGCGGACCCGGGTTCGAGCCCCACTGTGTTCTTGGTACCAGGTTTTTTTTATTATTTCTTGCAACAATGCTTACAGACACTGGCGGTGGCGGACAACTACAGCGCCGCGCGTGACCCAAGTTTTGATCCTATAGCAGTTTTCACTGCAAAAAAAAAAAACTCTTGGTCCATTCATTTGCCTAGCACTTTGTTAACCAGTTCACGATGGCGCTGTACTCCGGCGGTTGTTTCATGAGTTCAACATAGCAGTGTCCACACTGTGCCATTCGTTTCTAAAAAGTGCTGCCGTTGTGCTCGTGATATAGAGCCAAGTCTGCAGCACAAGCTAGCTGCAACCGCAGCAGATGACAAAGTTGACTGATATCGTGTCTATTTTGACAGCGTCCAAAAACATTCAATGACGTGAATGTTTTCGGGTAATTGCAAATGCCAGACAACGTAAGCAGCGCCGTCCACAACCCGCAAGGAAGGTAACCACATAACAGGGCTGTGCGGATAGCGCATGTACATCTTCGAGCTACAGAACATTTCACGGGCCAAAACAAAGACAGTTTCCCTTAATAGAAAGGGAAGTTCTCGAATAGAGGCTCCGTAGTCCTGCCACTGAATTGAAGGCCAGCAGCGGTTGGACAGCGAGTTGTTTGATACCGTCATGCAAAATGTTTGCTGCTATAACTGCCTCGACTTTTTTTTTCTCCCGCGTCATGAACCATCCACCTGACGTCAACATTTTTGAAAAAAAAAAAAAGTGGTTTCATTACGCAAGCAACTACAGTATTTCTATGTAGTTTACATGTATATCCCACAGCCAGTTTTTATAACGTCACGTCAAAATATAGGCAAATCTACAAAGGGTTAATTCACACTTTTTGGTTATCCATGCCTAGAAATATATATAAAAGCTTCAAGCTGAACATTCCCATTTTTATGCCACTAACAGTCTTGAATAAAGCTTACTGCCTGCCTACGAAACGGCTGAACTAGCCAAACCACATGCACCAAACAATGCTGATCAAAGTAAAAAAGAAAGTCTGGCCTTGCTCTATTGTGTGCTGAAAGCTTTTAAAGTGGCGTTCGCCACGGTAACCTGGTGTCATGCGAAAAAATCACCCTCAGAATACGAAGGGGCTACCAACACTACTGGGAGGTAACTCACATTGCATATAGATGCACGTCTTGTATAATAATGAGTGACAGTATTATCACTGATGTCTAGAAACTTTGTTGGCAATGCTGCAGAGCTGTCTATGATGTTGTGGCAGCATTGAGAAACAAGCATCACAATGCTACTTGGTAAGTCTCATAGTTATATTTCTCAACTCCTGATAATTCAAACAAAGCCTTGGGTATCCGCACGTTTGACAGGACACAAATCCCTCTAATGAATGAGGACACTTGCCTTTTGGCTTCTTCAACATCCACCAATTCAACAACATCAGAGAAACGGACTTTAGCATGTGCTTCAGAAAGGCGTATCAGGGACTCCAGTTGGCGAGGGTAGGCAGACACTTGGCCACGACCACTACCAGCTCGTCGCATGTCCACATAGGCTTCTATGAGGGCTTGGCCAGCCTCCTCACTCATTTGTGGTTGCACATAGGTCCGTGCATACGCAATGTAGTCCTTCATCAGCCCCAACTCCTGAAAGTGAAAAAACAATCTTTGGTGATAGAACATCACTTGAGTGAACCTCTTAGTCCTCAAGCCTTCAACCCTAACAGGACATACGAGATCCTAGTGAACTCATCTATTTTACAAGACCATTTTTTAATAGAAAAGCAAGCGATTTTCAACTCTGATATAGGCAATAATTCCATAAAACTGTGTTCAGTATATAAAGATTTCACTTTATCTGAATCATTAGGTACTTGTGTGTTGAAGGGGATGAAAAGCTAGGGCATGTTGAAACCCTGTACAGGATGCTGATGGCAAAGCTTTCATGTACAGCACACTCTCAGTCCTTTCAGGTTCCGTTTAACCCTTTGTAGGTTCACGTTTATTTTTGAACCGATGATATAAAAACCGTTGTGAAGAGGAAAGCTGTGCGGACATTTTTCTAATCCGCAAGTGCGCTTCTCTACTATGCAGTTTGTCCTACTAATGGCAGCTAACCTCTTACTAAACACATTGTATTCGAGCACAGCTTGCTTGGGCTACGATGTAGAAAATGTTGACTTGCTTGTCATGCGTATAATAGATGACACACAGCACCTGCAACTATACTCTGTTCCAGAAGTTCCGTGCAGCACTGTGGAAGCTACAGGCCTTCTCAACCAATCAGCAGGGCGAGCACATCTAAGTGTATCCTTCCGCGCCCTGTCGTCTGCTAGCCCTTTCTTTTTTTTCCTTCGCGCGCAGCGTTGAGAGGTGCCGCCGCAGGGTTGGGCATGGTGCTGAGAGCATTTTCGGAGCTAGGTATGTTCGAATTAACCGTCCCAAGTGCTAGCGTGTTTGAATTACAGGGCGTTTTCATCCCTTGGAACATACATAGCTTTGACGGGACCACAGCGTGAGTTTGAATTAACCGGAAGTTCGAATTAATGATATTCGACTGTTTATTTTCCGTCGCACGGGTAGTCGCGTAGCAATACATCGAGCCGCGAGGAGGTGTTCTTTGCATGCTTATAGGTGTGTGCCCATCTGAACATACATCGCCACAAGCTGTTGTTATAATCGATATAACAAAATAATTGTGGCTCCCCTTCAACTTCGTTATAATGAGGTTTGAGTGTAGCTGCATCGCTATTACGACGGGCTCCCTCACTTTAATGATAGCACTGTGCTGACGGGCCCCATCAATGTGGTCACAATTACACTACTCTAACGATAGTACGGCATTGACGGGCCACGTCACTATAGCCACTGTGATCTCGCAAATCCACCTTCGTTCGTAGGGACTGGCGGTATCCGCACTGCGGGGACTCGAGCTGTCGAGTTGAAATAAACCGAAGTGCGAGCGCCAATAGCGATTAGTATTGTTTCAGCCGGATTACCACAGCTAGAATGGCTTAGGACATAGACACCGTAAACGTGCGAGCCCCAATAAGCTGGATAGGTGGTGCCATCTAGCGTGGCCATATTGAACCAGCGATAATCCCAACTTTGTTATTGCAGAACATCGTGCATGTACGTCTGGCACAAAAACCAGCCAGCGGCATTATTACAAATGAGTACCTTTTCAATCATTTTCAGCTCAAAAACATTACGTGTAAGCCAACATGTTCATGACTGGTTACACGAAGTGTCACAAGGTGTCAACACCACCAATTCAGTAACCTTGTATTTTTCCCCCCTCTTGTGCATACGAGGAAAAAACGTCTCGTGTTTTTGCCACAACGGTGATTCAACCCTATGTAAGATAAATGCAGTTAGCATCACCATTTAGGTTTGCGAAAACGTAAAGTATACGCATTACGTACATACGTAAATGCTGACGTAAGAGGAGCTAAACGTTCAAAGACATGCGCTCCGGACGGTAAATGCAAAACGGTATCCAGTAACACGTTAACGTAAAGAAGTATTCGTACAAGCTAAAAGTCCCTACTGTTGTTGGCCACAGCTTCACCTCACGTTAGCCACAAGCTTCCGTTCATGCATGAATTATAGCACAAGAGCCTAGCACGAGGTAAGACAGTATGACCATATTAGGCATCATTACAGTGTCGATCTTGGATACTTCTACAGAAAATGGCAGCTGCAGCGGTCGGCTGGGTGCTCAAGACAAGTGTGGATCTGTACAATGCGTAAGTAGTAATCTATACATTAGGTGACCTACAAGAATTGCAAAATAAAAACTCCCAAGCATTTCCCTGAGGGTGAACATGGTTAAGTGCGAATACACGGGGTGATGCTATGAGGGGTATTTATTAATTCGCACTATTATATTTATTAATCACACTATGGTGCCTTTATGGTGTAATGGTTTCTGGGAATTGCAATTTGATCACACTGGGGAGTTTACGTTAACTCCACTGGCGAATGCAAATGGATTTATTTAACTTTACTCCCCCTCACGACCCGCTCTCGACGGGAGGACTGAGAGAGAAGGCGGGCGCACGAGAGAGAGGGGTGCGCGCGCAGCTGCAGCGAGCGAGAAGAGCGGAGGAGCGAGCGAAGGGGGAGGGAGTATAAGGCGCGTTACTGACACCGATATCAGCATCGCGTCCGTGGCTTATTCGGTAGAGCGTCGCGCTGCGGCTCGCCAAGTCCTCTTTCTTTTAAAGATAGAGAGAAGACAGCGGACGCTGCCGACGGCGGTGGATGGTCTGGGGTCGCTTATTAAAGTGTATTCACACTTTAAAAAAAACAGCATTTAGGCTATACATTACAGCATTCAAACCTCTCACCATTTGCTCTTCTTCTGCTTCCTCTGGCTTCTTGTAGTACAAAGAAACAAGATGTTGGGCCAGCCTCCTGTCGTAGCGTTGGTCTTGTGGATCCAGCATCAGAAAAATAAGGTCAAACCTGTGAGAAGGAAGAGGAGAAAAAAATATGTGAATTTTATTACTTGTTCTCCCCCTGTATCAGATAAAAGAAAAGGTATGCTTTATGGTGACTCCAACTGCAAAGTCAGGAAAAGCTGAAGTATGAGCACCATAAATGCCAACTGTAACCCCAGCTGAGTTACCAAAGCCATAAATGTGAGAGGCCGAATAGGTGGTGCTATCTGATGGAGTCGAAATGAAGCAGAAAAAACAAAATGGTTACGGCAATAACATGGTGCCTTCTAGTTCTCTGCTGATACAAATTCCTTGCACCAGCATAATTCCCAATGAGTTGCCTTTTTTTTTCCTCCACAAAATCACTAGCTCACCACTAATTTGTCTATAATCGTGGTTGCATGCCAAAACATCACAATATGTCAATACCATCCTCCAGTAACCCGATACTGCATACACCCCTTTGCCGAGTATATCAACTACAGTAAAAGCCGAGTATGTCAACTCAGGTAAATCTAATTCTTTTTTATATTTGAAGTATTCTTGAACACGATAATGCTTTAAGATCAATGCATAGAAAAATCTAAGAATGCATCATATAAACATGAGTGGAACAGTTTGCTCCGCATTTGACAATAGTTCACAGTTCGCTACGCATCTGGCAGCAAAGCAACAATTAATTCAAAAAGCCTCCTAGTGTGAACTTCAAGAGTGGCGACACAATATGCAGTGCTAAATGCAAATTAAACCTCCACGTCAACGAAATGACGACTGACTGCAAAGACCGTCTCGTTCATGATCATTTCAGTATCACCCTGCTCTATACTGTTGTCCAGGTGGAATCACACTTGTCTACTGTTTTTTGCAAAAATAGGCAAAGACTGACACTGTAATGATAGCTAATACAGTTGAACCCACTTATAATGATCTATCGGTTACAACGATCATATTTCATTGCACTTATGATTTCACTGTGCTACCCATTGAAACTGCATCTACATATAACAAACATTTTTCAAAGCCTCCTACTTTTAAAATGACCACTTCTGCCACAGTTGTGGTAAAAATATGGCACATACAAAGCAGGGATAAAATTAAAACATACATTCTGAATCACATGAAAGGCATGTGTTCGCACATGCCCCACTGTAGCTTACTCACGACAAAGATATTGTTGACAGCAACGAGCACTGCCTGCAGATTGTGGACAGCTCGAGCAAGGTTTGCTCACTTTCCAGGAATTTTTTCATTGGCCTAACTATAATAAGAAATAAAAAGATAAAAAGAAAGAAAGAAATAGGAGACCGCATGAAGACTTGCGGTAAGCTTCCGCATTGTAAATTTTTCCCAACGCCGCTTTCTGCATCTGTGACTGCTGACAATTAACCTAAGAATGTCTTTGAATGCAATAAGCCATAAATGCAAGAAGCAATAACTTTTTGTTCATAGAAGTTTGTTGCGACGCTCAACGTGGGGACGCTACTATGTGCCGCAAAAGGTCTTCCACCATTCTGTAATGACACAGAATGGTCGATCGGTCACTTCTGTGCGGTCGTGGCGGTGTCTTAATAGACAAACACCAGAATAGAGCGAAGATGAGGTGGCGATGAATGTGCCGTTTTCACGGACAACATAATCGCAGACATCTGCAGATATCTGCTCCGCTGCTAGCGCGTTGATTGCAAAATGTCTTTGTTGTGTTGAACTAACTGGCTATTCGCCATACCCGAGCACGATCCTCAGCGGAGCTTGCACAAATGCACAAACATGTGCGTACATTAAAGCGCACACTTGTGGCTTGTGACGTCGATAACCGAGTAAGCATACATGCTGCACATAACTAGCCAGAAATGACTCGTTCCACATAGCGGTACCGCCCATGAGTGGAACAGTGCGAGTTCATCATGAATGTGGTTTAATTTCCTCAAGAGCACACAGCAGACATCGTAAAAAATGCATCAAAAGGCCTAATGCGTCACCGGGGGGTTGTTAGCCCTGTTTTTATAAAGATACACAGGAAAAAAAAAAACATTTCGATCTCTAAGTACACATCTTTAAAGGCGAGTCAATATAACACACTACTGATATAGTATTGACCACATATCAAGGCACTTCCGAGTTTTTTATAAATGGTTTCGACTGTATAGTGAAACTGCATGCTAGGTCCTCTTCATATAATTCAAGCACATAAGGAAGCTAACCAGCTAACATGAGGTAGCAGCTGGAGACAAGTCTTCACAGCCACACGCTCCACTGCTCTAGACAAGTGTGATTTCGTCTGTACGATAGCGAAGAGCGAAATTGTGCCGTATTAGTCAAGTGCGATTTCACAATTCTGAAAACACCACTCTTACTGAGCGAGAAAACATGCAAAAAAAAAAACATGGAGGAGATTCCCTCGCAAAACACTATGACGTCATAAATTTTGAAGTCGTTACTGGGTCCTACATAGCTTTTAATCAAGGAATTGAAGCACAATGTCATCAGCGGGTGCCAAAGACCTATCATACGAAGTTTCAGAAAATTTCATCAAGCCAATGTCATGAAAACGCCAGAAGTACATTATAAAATCGCTGACATCACGCACAAAGATTTCGGTGCGAAATTTAAAAATTGAACTTCACCTTGACTTCCTCCGCTAATAATGAATTTATGATGTAGAAACATGTAATGTTAGAGTTCTCAGAGTGCACTTTGTCAATCTACACTAAGTCACTGTTTCTCTTTAGTGCCCATTTAAAGGGCCAGTATCAGTGATGCTACTGGCTTAGGTTGTTTCGGAGCAGGTTATGGAGCAGACAAAAATGAATTTGGAGCAGCGAAACTGGCTTTGGAGCATGTGTCACTACAAGCGATTTCAAGCCATGTACTGCGTTTGTGACAGACGACCGACAAAAGCACAATTTTCCGCACACTATTCAAGCGTAATAAAATATCAAAAGCACAGAATTATAAATATCACCCATGTCTAACCTGAACTAGTATAGAAAGTCAAGCGTGAAACATAGAACCATAGCACCTTGTTATAAAATAACTAAAGGCGACATGATTATCACAGCTCGCACATTTGAAAAAAAAAAAAAAAAAGCAATAGAAACGTCTGTGATGACACCTTTGTATTTTATCAATCGCAATAGAAGAAAACACATGGCTCGTTAATTAAGTTCATGGACCACACGCTTCTTTGACTACAGCCTAAGACCATCAGAAACTGTGTAGGGTGTTTTTGAATCGTTTGAATGACCGTTTGAGAGTAAACATATTGAGAAACAAGGCAGTAATTGTATCAGTCCAAGCGTGATTGATTGATATGTAGGGGTTAACATCCCAAAACCACCATATGTTTATGAGAGACGCCTCAGTGGAAGGCTACGGAGATTTCGACCACCTGGGGTTCTGTAATGTGCACACAAATATGAGCACACGGGCCTACAGCATTTTCGCCTCCTTCAAAAATGCAGCCGCCGGAGATCAGACCAAGAGTAAGTAATGCCCTTAAGCATCATCAAAAAGAGTCTCTGTATTGACACATGACCCCCAAGCAGAAAGTTTGCTGAACTAGCGAATCGCAAAGTTGGCTGGTTGACTTAGATGGTGCAGCATGCGTGAGGAGCCTTAGTGATACCTAGTAGTCGTCTTGGTGTGCACCCAGCAACGCGCATGCCGGCCACATAAATATTTGCGAATACAAACAAGTGCCATTTTCAAGAAGCCAAAGTTGTCAGCCACGCTTAAAAATTCAGATGTTTTCGTGGCACAGTCGAAAACCTACGTATACACAACAATGTACAAGAACATCTGCAATTTCGGACGCCAAGAGTCTTCGCTGCCGTTTTTCCGGACTGTACACTCACCTATCAGGTCCGAAATAGCATTGCTTAAAGTCCCACCTCCGCTACATCTACCATGTCACAAACTTGAATGAGCACTTTCTTGCCATCAGAGCTATGTCCCGAAATTCAGCTTTGCCACAGTGACTAAGTGGTGTAAGGAGAAGGAGACCGAAAGTCAAAAGGCACCACTATCACAGCGCAGTGCGGCGATGTCTCTTACTACTAAGCACTGGAGTCGCACAGAGGCGGGATGGCAGCAATGCAGAAAACACGCCAGTGCGACCTCATTGTTTTGCATGTTTTTCTAGCTGGTTGCGTACACTGAAGGCTTAGGAGATAAGTGTCGCAAGAGTGGCAGCGATAGGGAACCGCAGCCCAAAGTTATTTAGCGTTAAAAAAATCAAAATACAATAAAATGAATGCCTACCCTAAAATCAATTCTCGCGAATTCACCTGACCATGTTTCCCTCGCCCTGTGACGTCGAATGGCTGCCCAATGAAATGAACCGAAAGCCCTACCATACAGGAAGCTTGCAATGACATATTACCCATTATTTCTGACATATTGAGTACACCATTGTGATGGTAAAAAATAATGTGGTACTGGAAGAGTGAACAGCACGTGCGAAAGGAGCCAGCTCGCGTACGCTTCTATAACGTTTTTTACTTTACTGCTCTTTTTTTTTTTTTTTGCGACGGCATCTATATCTCCACACTGTTACATTATTGTTTTCTTTCAGTTAGTTCTAACACAGCACCTTTCCTTCATCACTGTGGCGTTCGGCGCATTTTTCGAGCGGCTTTGCAGTTTGCAAGCTGAAAAAGTCAGAGAGCTTTATTCCTTCTATGTTCAGTAAAAAACCAAGCTAAAGAAAAAGAAACCCAACAGTAATCTCTATTTTGATGCTATGCGGCGATTACACCTAACATTACATTTATCCAATCACAGGCCTGAGCCCTCCGTCGTCATAATTGCTTGCAATAGTTCTGGCGAGTGCCACTACAAGTTGATGCAGTCAGCAGCACTGTTTTTAAAGTGTCAGAAAGTCCCTTTAAAGCTAACATCCCTTTATGATAAGCATCTTCAGTTGATTGATTGGTAGTGCATGTGGTCTGGCCCAGCTGTAAGCATAATGCATGCTTTTAAGTACCGTAATTACTCGAATCTAATGCGCACCTTTTTCCGGTTAAG